CTGGTAAAGCTTTGCAAATCCCCTTCTGTTGCTTTCCACTGACTCATCCCCTCCCCTTATGCTCCAGAAGGCTTTTCCACAGCCAGACAACATCCACATCAGGCTCCCTGAACACTTATTGCCTGGGCCAATGCTTCCAGAGTCGCATTTCGGACAGGGAGGAAGATGCAGAGATGCTCATACTGGCAATGGTACATGCCAGTGTGGAGGACTCACTGCGAGGATGCAAGGACCAGCCTTGCAATGAGCTGCTGTGAGTAGAAAAGTTATAGAACAGCCAGTAAAACCTGCCCATGGAAAGGCTGACCCGACACTCTGGATCTTGGGAACTCAGCGGTGCAATGAAAAAAACTTCCTCTGATCAGTGGACTGTGAAGTTGACACAGTCAACCACCCTGCACTGTGTGTCTCACTGTGCTTTCAAGCAGTGGCTCCGAGCCCTCTCCCTTTTGGAATCGCCCAGTTTTCCAGCCTGTGGTTAGCAGGGCTGAGAGCTCAGCTGGCTCTCAGCAGCTGCAGCTTCTTGCTCAAAACACCTTGATTTGCCCCATTAGCCCCAGAGGAAATGCACCTGTCCTTTCATGCATTTGGAACAGGGTGTCCCTGCAGTGCTAAGGTGCAGGATCGCACTGTGGACAGCAAACTCATCTCTTGAGGTTCTTCACAGGTGCACCCCTAAGCAGCTTTGCTGGGCCAGTGTCAGAGAAGAAGTAACTACAAATATATCCTTAAGATGTAGATGCCTGTCCTGCCAGTGTTTCAAGCACCCAGTGTCTCCTGTAGGTCACTGCAGAACAGGCTGAGCTCACTATCTCCAAGGCAGCTGAGCAAACCTAACAGTTAAAACATTAAAGCATAGATTTTATCTCTAAGCTAAATCTCACAGAAGGGACTCGAAGCTCTGCACCCATTTTCCCAGACATACCTGGGAGTGTGGCACTGAGTGCAGGGCTTGGCAGCTCTCAGAACCCACTCCTCGCTGAGCCCCCTGGCTGCTGTGCAGGCAGCCCTGCCCTCACACGGAAAGAAGCAGCTTGAGGAAGGGCTCCTGGCAGTGGTCTCTCTATCTCCCACTGGCAGGCACTGCCCCTGGAGCTCTGCAGACGATTCTGGCTGCTCTGCACCAGCCCACAGCACTGGGAACAGGGAAGGTCAGCTCTCATCCCAAAGCTATGAGGAATGCACCGCTGCAGACAGCTCCTGCCTACCTGCCGTGACCACTGAGCCACAGGAGAAGCTATAAATGGATGTCACAGAAAACTACAGAACAAATTACAAGCAGAAAAACAGACAGACAAGAGATGGATGAGATGGGTACAGCACTACAGTGTGGAGTGGATTTGAACTTCAAGTGAACCTGAGCCAAATGACCAGGCTGCCATGGTATGTTCATTTGTCGATGTCGGCATCATCAATCTGGCCTTTGTGAAGCCTGGCAGTGAGGTCTGGCTTTTCTTTCCTGCAGGATAAATAACAACTAAAAATGTTGCTGCAACCTCCAAGTAAACGAGCACTTCCAGGGGGTCACACAAGGCTCCAGAGCTGGTGCAAATGGCACAGCCTTAACTCTTTTGCCCGAAACTAACACAACCAAACTGGCCTCTGCTCTCCAACCACATGGTTGCTCTAGAGGCAGCTCCAGAAAATTATTTACCTGATTGGAAGCAGCTAAAGCAAAGATCTGGACTTGGTTTGTCTCAAATGTTACAGTATTTTGTGCTCATTATCCCAGCACTATGGTGCGGTGCCTTAAAACCAAAAATGAATCTTTGGACAAGAAATATTTTACATATGTACAAATAAAAAATAGAAGCTGACAGTACAAAACCTGCTATTAGTCACCATTCTGTGCAACTAGCAAATGCCAGATCAATCCAAGGCAGTGCAAAGCGGGTTGGGGCACACATATGACCCAGGCTGAGAGAGACAACACTGTTACTGTTACCATGGCAATTGCATTTCAGTGGCATCAGGAAATCACTGTTTTACAATATAAAAAATTGTATGTTTTAACACTTACTCAAAAATTGCCATTTTGCTGCCATGATGTAGCTTTGTTTTACAGCAGAGACTTAAAAGAGCAGCATGGAGTCAGATGGGCACTTGTAAATAACTTATTACAGCAACGGACTTCTCCAAGACATGCATTTGGCTCAGGAGTGAGCCCAGGTCAGTGATCGCAGGGGGCTGAGGTCAGGGTTTAATGCATCCCACTCTCATCCTGCGTCATGTCAGAGTTCAGTCCTTCCCTATGAGCGCCCAGGGAACAGGCACATCGCTTTTATTTTAGCAGCTAGCAGGGCACGTTAGAGAATTGTTTCAAGTGACTGGCAGGTGATGGTATCCCAGTTGTCAGCAAGGTCCTGGCTCCACAGGCAGCTTGGCCAGGTCAGCAGGGTGCTGCCAGGGTCTGCCAGCGTGGTGCTGCCAGCATCCAGATGGGAAGAAACACAGGATGTTTGTTGGTCTAGATCCGGATGGACACAAGGACACCCTGTGCAAAGCGGAGATGCTTCACCTTGGCACTCTGCCTGCCCTGCCCTGCCCTGCCAGTGCCCAGGGAGAGTCCAAGATAGGCATGAGCCAGTGGCCCCAGCTCCCCCAGCTCCAGCAAATCCAGTGACTATAGTGGGTGTATGGGGGGGAACTGATCCTGGCTGTGGCAGAACTGATGTGCCTGGACCTTGGTAGAGGGATGAGGCACCTGCTGCAGCTCAGTACTGCCACCGGACCGAGCACTGCAGGGACCTCCTGCTGCAAGGCGTCGAGAGCCGATCGGTTCCACAGCAGCTTGGGCAGCATTACCCGGCCATGCCTTTTACTCTTCCATTTAGGGCTGAGAGTTCTCGATGGTCTGTGAGCTCCCAGCTGTGTTTGCAGGGGTTTGCTACAGCTCGGGATTCTGTGACTGTCCTGCAGCAGGGTTACAAAGCGGGGATGACCAAGGCTCCCATCCTGTACTCACATGGAGAGGGGTCTGCAGCAGCGTGTGAGGGGGTGCAGCTGCCGAAGGGTCGCGCAGTCCCAACGTGTGGAGCGGCGTGTGCAAAGGGCGGTGCAGCGCAGGGTGGTGGCCGGATGCACGAAGGTCTGCCAGGAGGGTCCCAGCACTGTGTCCTGTGTCCCGCTCAGTAGTATGCACGCACACGCCTGCTCCGGCGCCGATGGCCCCTCAGGATGGCGGGACGGGCGGGCACCGGGTGGGGCTGGGCGGCAGGCGGGCCGCCGCGCTCTGCTCCGTCCGGAAGCTGTAGTCATACTGCAGGGTAAAGCAGAGAGAGAGAACCTTGGGGCACTGACCCATGCAGCCCAGGCCAGGGCATGTGACCATGCAGCCACACTGCTCATGCCTAGGGTGGGACGATACAAGGAGCAGAAAAATGTGGTAAAAACTGGGCCTGGCAGCAGCTGGCCCAAGCAGGGCCATACATGGTGAGCCTGCTGGCATCACCTGACCCCACAGCAGTGACCACTCGAGGTAAGATCTACCCCCTCTCTCAAAACCCAGCATTAACACAAACATGACCACACTCATCCAGTACATAAAACAGCTAGTCAGAAAGATTCCCTTTGGCAGGTTTTATACACAAGCCAATACCGTGAAAATTAACATGTTCAGTTCGACAAGGTGGGTGAAAATTTCTATATACACATCCCTGCACTCCCACGATGTCACTGCAGCCCAGGGACACCCCTGCAACTGAGGGACAGCCCCACGCAGCCATGGAGCCCAGGTGCTGAAGCGCCTGGCGTGCACTGTAGCAGTGCCATCTCGTGGTATGCTGTGGGCAGCACCCTGCAGGCCCTGGGCCACCCCAGGGCACCCCAGGAGAGGCCGAAGTGGCAGTGGCCTGCCCATGGTGGGTGGGTGGTCGAAGCAGCGCCATGCAATGGGGCTGCCGGGGCAGGAGCTGCCCGTGACCGCACACCCACTGCAACGGCCTCATATAGGGACTGCCGCTCCCCCCCATCTCCCATTTGTGGCCCCTGGAACGTCACAAACACGTCTCCCCGTGGCCTTGGACCACTCCTTGCCAGCCACCCAAGGGCACAAGACACACCGCCAGCAAGGTGACCCTGGGAATCAGAAGGTGCGCTGGGGCCTGGCCTGCCGGAGTTGTACCAATTGCGCCAGGGTTATGCTGGGGCTGTGCCAGGTCTGTGCCAGTTGTGCCGGGGCTGTGCCAGTTGTGCCAGGGTTGGGCTGTGGCTGTGCCAGTTGTGTCAGGGCCGTGCTGGAATTGTTCCAGTTGTGCAAGGCTGTGCCAGGTATGCACCATCTGAGTAGAAGGTAGGGTTGTGTCAGGCCTGTGTTGCGACTGTGCCAGCTGTGCTGGGGCTGTGCCAGTTCTGTGCCAGGACCACGGCAGTTGTGCCAGGGCTGCGCCAGGGCTGTGCCAGTTGTGTGCCAATTGTGCCGGGGCTGTGTCAGGACCGTGCTGCCTCTGCATCCCAACTCAGGAGACCACCGGTGCAGCGCCGAGCTGCGGGGGTCCCGCTCTCCGGAGCACACGGGCCCGGGCCCACCCCGGCGGACGGGGCGGCGCGGGGCCGGCAGGGGGCGCCGCGGCTTCGTGCCGGGCTGGGCCGGGCGGCGCCACTGGGCGGGAACGGGGCGGCCCCGTGTGGGGGCTGTACCGGGGCTGTACCGGGGGCTGTACCGGGGGCTGTAACGGGGCTGTACCGGGACCTGTGTCCGGGGGCTGTACCGGGGCTGTACCGGGGGCTGTGACGGGGCTGTACCGGGGGCTGTGCCCGGGGGCTGTACCGGCGCTGTGCCGGGACTGTGCAGGGAGCTGTGCCCGGGGGCTGTGCCCGGGGGCTGTACCGGGGGCTGTGCCCGGGGCTCGGGGGGCTGTGCCGGGGTTCGGGGGGCTGTCCCGGGAGCAGTGCCCGTCACCCCCCGGCCGCACCTCCCTGTCGCGACGCCGCAGAAGGCGGCGCCCCCTCGCGCCGTTCGCAATAGGCGTCATTTTTCAACACCCAAACGCATAAAGATGTCAGCTCAAACTGTTTACTAATTAACACTTAAAAAGACACAAATTAGATATGCGTGGCTAAGAGCAATTATAATCAAGACGAATCTCTCCAGTCATTGGGGAACTGAGGAAACTCCTAATTGCTGGAACCAATGTTTTAAAAACTGAAATCATGCCAGTTAGTAAATATGTTCATTTAAAAAACATTTCATGTGACTGCACTCTGGAGAATTGCCTACAAACATGCGAACAAGAAAAAATATTGCTGTGGAAAATTAAAATTTTAAGCCCTTTTAGATTTACAACTTCTTCATTAAATATATTTGCGAAGAGCAGCCCATGATAACTTGTAGCAATTCAGTGGTTAAATAAACTGCCTTCCCTGTCAGTTTAAAAGGAGTGATGAGTATTGGATGCTTGCTTTACTAATTAGACTCTCTCTAGACTTTTCACTCCACACCAAGCTCAAAGGAAGACGAGATGCGCCCCACGAGTGGCCGGACCACTGCGCTCTTTGCCACAGCCACGGGCACCTCAGCACCCACCGTGTAGCTGAAGTGACTGACAGTGCCAGCACCTTTCCTGTCACCTGCACCTGCCCAGGTGCCTGCTTGAGGATGCTCCCCTAGCCAGGACAGGCAGGAACAGTGAGGACAAAGCCCTATAGCCCCGCAGGGAGAGCTGGCAGCAGCGTTGCCAGGGCTCTGCTTCTCTGCTGGCCATCCCACATCCACCAAAGCAGCCATGAACAACAGCATGCACCGCTTACACCTGTGCTTCACCGCGTCTTCATACCCCAGCTCTCCATGCAATGCCCTGGGCATGGATGTGCCATCCTGGAGCAATGAGAGCAGCCTGGGTGCAGTCCAGGATTTGTGCCTATTTCCATTATTTTCCTGACAGGGTGGAGTCCTGTCACTCAGCTGCCTGCAGCTTGGAGGATGGGTGCATACATCTGCAAATGTGGCAACAGAGAACAATAACTCTTGGAATTCTTTGGGAATATTTTTTGCAAGGCATCTTGCTCCAGGGAGAATGTTCTGGCTGCTTTGGAAATCCAGAAGATTTGCTGTAATGGTGCTATTGCTTGCAAGGGAAATAAAGCCATGCTGAAATTCACAATATTTATATGTGTAGCTCTCTATGTGCAGACAAGATGCTTCATCAAGGAATATGGGCTGCATAAACATATTTTTCATTACTCTGGAATGCACACAGCCTACGATGGAGCAGGAGCTGTGGCAGAGCCGGCAGGTATCAGCCTCTCTTCCCTGGCCCACACAAACCATTCCAGTGCTGGTGCCCCCGCATTCCACAGCCCTTCGAGGGCACAGGCAGGGCTGCACAGCCCAGCCCTCCAGGCAGCCCCCGAGCTGCCAGACCTCTTCCACACCAGGCAACACACAGAGATGCTGCAGAAGCAAATCCAGCGCCACTTTGATTCCCCTTGGGCCAAAAGGACCATCTGCTCCCTGGCCAGCTCCCAGCAAGAGCGAGGAAGGAGGCAGGCACGCAGAGGGGCTGCCAGCTCTGAGCACACCAGGCTCCCAGGGCTCCTCCTGACAGATGTAAGCAGTCCTGAGCAGAGGCACGGCACATGTGCCATGTGGTAGGACCGCAGCACCTGAGGCAACGGGTGCTTCTGTCAGCCATTGCCCCTGTCAGGCAGCATCTCCAGAGCCACCACTGCAGGCCCACTGCATGCCTGCAAAAGTTCTGGCAACCAATCACCTTCTTCTTGTACTCAGACAAAAATTCCAGGCAGAAGAGGATGGATTTAGGCAACTAGAGTCACAACTGGAATCAAAAAGTGGAGAAACTTTGAGCAGTTTTGTGATGGCATCTTGTTACTCTCTGCCTTGAACCCAGCTGGTTGGCAGAGGAGAAGGTCTTTGTGACCAATGGTGCCTGAAAAAATATGTGCTGCTGAGACAAATTTCTTCCTGGTCTGAGACTTCAGCTGCAAGGCCACCTTTGTAGAGCAGGCAGCTCCTCAGCACCATGTGGCAGAATGCTCCCTTGGGACCACCCTTGGTTTGGTGGCTGCCTCCTCCCATAGCTCCTCAAACACTCACACCCACTGAAATGCAGCCCAGTTCCCCTGACAACAACTTATCAGCATCACCACACTGAAAAATGATGAAGGTGTTCATCTGATATTGCTGAGTCAAGTCCATTTACCTTCCTGACATACAAGAGGCACCTAACAGTGTCCTGCTTGCACTATGTGTTGTTAATATATGAGAAAGAAAGGTTAACCAAGACAGATATCTGGAATTAGACAGAGGGCCCCAAACTTTGCCATTAGATGCACCACCTAAAGCATCTTCACTCAATGCAGATCACAGAGGACATCCCTGATCCTGAGCTTACCTCTTGACTTTATCCCCTCTCAGTGACTTGGGAATGACAAGAAAAGCCTTTTCCATAAGGGAAGGTATCTTACAACAAAGTAAGCACAGCTCTTGTGACTTGCTCAGTGCTGGATGGTACTACTTACCTCCTTTTCGATTTCTGCAAGAGTTTTGATTGTGATGCCCAAGAGATCAACTGGCTGCATCTGGCAAGAAAGAAACAATGTCAAATTTAGGTGGGTGGTGGTGGTGGTTGTTGTTTTGGGTTTGTTTTGTTTAAAGTCAGCAAACACTCTATCACCAGAGATTTAGAGGCACCATCTGTGAACACAGGGATGGCCCTGCTCCTCATTGCACCAGGAGAGCGAAGCAGCAGACAGCAGGTTGTGGCCAACAGCTCCAACACCTTTCTCCCTCAGCGTGACAGCCGACACTCATCTCCACGTCAGAGGTAGATCTGCCACCACCTCCCATTGCAGGACCCAGTCTGTAACACTTCTACGGCAGCAGCATCGAGGTGTGAGAGGCACCGGCTGCGGGAAGCCTCGACCAAACTGACCATATGGTGGCAATGGTGTCTAAAGGATCCGCGGGGAGGATTAGCACAACCTAATCTCTCTGCATTTGTCCTCACAGCAGGGACTCCATCTTTCTGGGAATAAAGGCCCATATACAACCCTTTCAGAAAGCCAGGGTTGTGCAAAACCCCCTGTCAGCAGGAAGAGGAAAGCAGAAAACCAGAGCACTTCTGAAAAATCAGACACAGCTGATGGTTTAATAGCTTCTTGCAAATTGTTATTTAAAGAGATACTGGTTTAGCATCGGATGGATTCGGGAACTGGTAGTGGGATGCTGAACTTTGAGCTCTGGATCATAAACTTTAACAAGTACTGGCCCAGTGACACTCAAAGGTCATTCTAAACCCAGACTGGGGTTTCCACCCTGGCCGTGCTCTTGGCGGCACGCTCTGCTGGGGTGGCCCTGCAGTGCCCGGCGCCGAGCAGGCAGCACTCGGTGCCCTCTCCAGCCTGCAGCCAGGCAGGAGCCTCCAACAGCTGCCAGCACTGGGGTGCACCCTGCCATTACCACTGCCCTGAACTTCTGGGGTGCCAACAGGAAGTAGTAAAGCTGATGGCACTATGCCATTCCCATGGCAGGTTAAATCCAGGAGAACTCCACATCTGCAGCTTTCTTTACAATCTATGCTAAGAAATTAGAAATGATTCCAGCACCAGGGAGTCCCACTGCCATCCTATTTCTGACGGCAATAAATCTTCCAATCCCAGGACAATTCAGTTGTAGAAATGATCTGGCAAAAGCCCTTCCCACCAAATGGGCAACTACTGTGATGTGCAACCTCAGCCCATCTCAAGCACTGGTATATATTTGGCCCCTCAACAGAAAAGCTTCCAGAAGGAGGTAATATTGTTGATGTTTTGTGACCACTTTCCATGAAACAATGAATTTCAGACACTGGGAGAACAACGAAGGCAACTCACCCCTTCAGGAGCACAGGCAAACTTCTCTGAAATCATAAAAGGCACTCCATCCATTGCTGAAAGGGACAAGACATCACGTCACATTTCCAGCTGATTTCTGACATGCAACTTCTCACATTCCCAGTGACAGATCAAGTATTCACAGCACTGACACATGACTGATTGCTCCTAGATGTTACTGCCAGCCTTTTCTTCCCTCTAACCTGCCAGTGGTTTCTTTCCATTTAAGACATAGCTGGGTCAGTCCCTACCAAACCAGGAATCCAACGAATCTTCCCTGCTCTATCCATATACAATTTCATGGTGTCAACTTTGCATTTTCCAATTTCATTCAGCTGCCAAAGCAGGACAGTATTTGAAACTGGAAGGAGGACACACATCTATTTACCACCTCCTCACTGAAGCAGCTGAGCACACTGGGTGGTGTCTGAGCAAGAAAATAAGGAACAGCTGGTTCAGGGAACTTGTACCCCCCCCAGCAGTCAGTACCACCACCTGTGTACCAGGCAGTAAGTGCTACCACCTGAGCAGGATGATGACAAACACCTGGGGCCAAGTACCCTCCCCAGCCTGGCTGCTGCCAGTGCAAACTCAATGGTGAGCAACGGAGCTCAAACACCTGCAAACAACAACTGAAGGATAGAAACCAATGGAATACAAGGACAGCCATAAGTACATGACGGCACATGGCACAGTCTCGTGTCACTGCCTTCAGCTCTGTCTGCAGCACAACCTTAACTGTACTCAGAGCACTGTTTGCCTTTTTGTTGTCTTGTATATTCATCTTAGTGCAATGATGTTCAGTGTGTTTGCTATCACCACCTTGGAGACATCACAGGAAGCCTGCCATGAGATGTGGCAGCACAAGGGAGACACTTACTTTTAAAACATATAACTCAGCAATTTGCACACAAGACTGCAAAGGGCATATTTCTAAGGCAGTGCACACCCCAGATATACCCCTTTTATTGCACTAACACCTTTAACATTTGAAGTCTTTAAATTTCAGCTCTAAAAGAAATAAAACCTTCAAATTTAAGCCGTGAAATGCCCCAGTGTGATCCTCAAATAGGGTCTCCTTTCAGAAAGGATCTGGGCCCACAAACTCAGCATTCCTCTGCTTGCCATTTGTAACTTCTACCAGCACCACTTAGTTACCATGTTAGCGATTTAACAAGGACCATTTAAGAATACTTAGCTTTTTACATTTGCTTTGTCTATTTTTGACTTAAACACCCTCTCCAATGGAGTATTTTGCTATCAAGGGTGCTGTGTGGCAGCCACAGCACAAAAAGAAACAAAAGGAAACAGATGAAAAGCAGCATCACCAAATCCAGGAAGTTTTAAACCTAGAAGACCATCTGCATTTGTTATCCGACAGAAACACGCTTTGATCAGCCACACGCCGGCTTTTGTAAAGTAATCTAAAGCCTGAGCCACAAGCGAGGCATCCCCGCAGCCCCCAGAGCCACCCCCATCCCTCGGCCGCGCGCTCGGCCCCAAGCTCAGGACTACGGAGTGAGGCAGCAGATGAAAGCAGGGTGAGCCAAAGGCTCAGCAGCACAATTAGCACTCTCCTAAACAAACGAGCTTCAACAGAGCTGTAATTAAGCAGGCCTGTAATTAAGTATATGCCCTTTATCATAACGATCATGCTTAAAAATGGCATGATGCATGGAAGTGTGTTATTAATGCTGCGCTCCCCGAGCGCAGGAGCCGGCGTGTCAGGCCCGTCACCAGCCTGCTGCTAAAATGCATTAAAGGCAGAAAGCAGAAAACAAGGCATGCATTCAGTGGTTCCTTTCACAGCCAGGCACCAGAGTCACGAGGGTTTAAACACCACCAATTCTGGAAACTTTACAGAAACAAGGCCCCAGGCGGCCGCTGCCTCTACCTGCCCTGGTGCCGGAAGGGCAAGAGCCCCACTTCGAACCGCGGCTCAGCCGGGCTCCTGGAGCCCTTGGGCACCCAAGGGGCTGCAGGCAGGCAGTGGGGACTCCCTGAGATGCTTGGGGAGCATCCCTCCTCCCTCACTTCTGATCCCAGGCTGAGCAAAGGCCCCGGACAAAGCGAACACTCTGGGGGAAGGACTGCCTGCTGCCCTGCACACAGGGTGAGACACCCATCGCTGCTGCTGCCCAAGATGTTTTTTTCACATTCATGAAGATTTCAATTCAGGCCTAATTCCCACAGCAGCTCATGGAGACTTGCAGGAGAGGGGCAGTCATGATGATCTCCAGGGCCAGGTAGCTCCAGCAACAGCAGGAAAGAGCTCCCATCATCATCTTGGAGCCCGACTGGGTATCCAGCACTGGGGTGTCCAGCACCGGGGTCTGGGCACTGGGGCCACTGCTCCTGCCACACACCATGAGGCAGCGCACAACTGCTGTTTACAGCAGTTAATTTCATAATAAAACGGAATGAAACCAGAACTGTAGGAGGGCATTTTAATTTCATGTCCCTTGTCCTGATGTTGTGCAGCAGGACATCATAAAAATAAACATCATCAGCACCTTCTGATTCCCCCTTTTTTCCTTTTTTTACTCCTCTTGCCTTTAAAGCATTCCTGGCAGGCTCTGATGAGCAAGCACTGTGCTGAGATCCTGCCCTGGATCACCACCTCCACAGGGAGTTTCACACTAACAGACCAGGCCCTGGCCCTGAGGTGCAGTTCCTGTTTTAGTCTGGCCAAAAGCTATTCCAGGCTCCTCCACATCAATATGCACCATGTTTGAGACCAGCAGATAGCAACACCAGGGGATAAAGGAACAGGTTCTGGTGAATGATAAAGCTCAACTCCTTCCACGGGTACCTGTGCTGATTCAAAAAAAAACCAGTGGGCAAGGTCCCAGTTGTACAACATTACTCATACCACTACAGAAGCAGCTAACGCACTGACCTACACAGGTTTCAATATCTTTAAAGGTTGTGACTTTAAAATATTTCCGAAAAAAAATTATAATTGTTTGCACCTTGCAGGTTAAAGCCTCCTTGCACAGGTAGGCAGAGCTGCTCTTGCCCCACAAAGCCTCACTGCCAGAAGGACACCCACCCACTGGGGCCCCCCACCCAGGGGCTGAACCCAGCAGTTCTCCCCATGCCACTATACCCACAGCACCTGCAACAGGTGAGGGAGGTGCCTGCGCTCTTCTCCCTCCAAATGGAACAAAACAGAATGGGATTTCAGAAGGAAAACTCTTTCCAATGGCTACTTGCTGCCTCCAAGGATCAGCTTCTCCCTGAGGGTCACAGCTGATAAGCTCAGGTACTGAAATTAGATAAAGGGTTAAAAGGAGCCAGCAGCCATAACCACACTCCTAAACCCCAGCCCTGAAGGACAGTGTTCCCGCGAATTCCCGGCAGCAGCCAGGAGGTGGATGGATGCCTCAGTGAGGGCCCCTTTGTGGGTGCAGGACCACTGAAATGCACAACCAACTTTTACCTGGTGGCTACTTTAAGTAATTTACCAAGACTTGCTCTAAGGCTCCCTCAGGGAGGACACCAAAGCACGGTCTATAAATCAACTTGTTAGCTTGCTTAGAAATTCTCTCTTTAATCTGAAAAAGTACCATCACCCTCCTCTAAGTACTCAAGAGATACTGCCTTCTGTGCTGCAGACTCAAACTAAATCTCAGTTGTCAAATTAGTAATTCATCTTTCTTGAATAACTATATTTTTAGCAAAGCTACCAGATTTAAATAATCAGACCTGCCAATGCTACCCTAATTTGAACATGCTGACGAACTTTCACAGGCAGCATCAGCTAACATAATGAGTTTCTGGATGACAAAGAACTTCAGACTCTAGTTCTCTACCCAGCGTAATAAGCACTTGTTCTTTTCTACAATGCGCACATAAAAGAGAAATCTAAATAATAGTTGCTGTAATTATCTTGAAAAATATGTGGTGATTAATGGTGATTATGAAAATCTGTATAATTGTTCACTGAAACTCCAAAGATCAGATGCTCTCTTGAAGCAGCCGTCAGTGAAGAACTTGGGAACACAAAAGCTTCCACGCTCCTGCCCGCTGGAAGCATGTGAGGACGGGACTGCCTGCGTGCCAGCTCAGCCCTCACTCTTCCATGACCTCTGCCAGAGGTTCCAGGATGTCCGTGATATGATGCACATGTCATTACGGTTCAAAGCACGAAGTTCAACCTGTTATTTATGCAAATAATTAATTACTCTAGTAAGCAACTCGCAGTTTGTCATGACATATTAATGACTTGATAGACTTCTATGAACTAGTAAGCACAGGACAGCAGAGCGCTTTTATCGTCATTTAATTTAAAAACGATCCTGTGTGAAATTATCTAGTCGTGAGTGATGGAAGCATAAAGAACAGACTCAGCAAAGCTTCTTTTGGATCATTGCTTTATTAATGGTAACGTCAGGGAAATGAAAAATGCTAACATTGTCATATTTAGCTCCTGGGTACAGATGAATCGCTGCCTCAGAGCCTGGCGGGCTCCGTTTGCACACTGCAGTGAGTGCTAATTCCTCACACCATGATTGTGGGGATATGCAGCCACGAAAGAGTTTATATACCTCAACTCCCAAGGAAATAACAGCTGTTTCTGCATTAAATTCTCACCATAAGCTTTTATAGCTTTGTATTTCTTTATTGCTGTTTTTGCATAGCTTTTTACACTTGAATTTTTGACTGCTGATATTAAAAATATTTAAATAAATAAATCCCTTGCAAAACATTTTTCTGCATGACTTTGAAAACAAAGCACTGTTAATCCAAACCAACAAAAAAACTAACACTGAATATGCTACTGCCACCTTTAAAATTTAAATGATCTTAGATTTTAGACAGATCTTTCTCTAATGCCACAAAATTGTTCAGATTTTCCCCAGACCTGAGAGCTAGCAGAGTGTTCCTATTTTACCAAGATGAATATCTCATAAACCAGCACACAGCAACACCGTAAAACTGAGTTTCCCTGCTTAGAGAAGACTTGATTTTCAGCTAAATGGCACCAGAGGAACACGGAAGCAGGTTGAGAACCAGCGGTTGGCAGACAGCATGGGCATGGTATTGCTTGGAG